TCTGTGTGGTTGTGGCAGGCAGCTGCTATGGATTGCTGCATCTTGCAAAAAGGATCAGATGATAAAAAAAACGATCAGATGATAAAATAATTCACTCGGCTGTCATGTATAAAGATCTTAGAAGAACTGTGTCACAGGCTGATTGGATGAGTCATACAAGAAGAATGTTCTTTCTGTGTGTCTGAGAATGGGCAGAAATAGTTTTATAGCATGGCTGTTGGGATGGGAGGGACGTGGACTCCATGCCAACTGGAAGAGTCTCCAGAGACAAGCAGGCACTGTTTTGCTGCTGGATTAGGAAGCTGTAGATAACTCAGGAGCTACTTTTCGCTGCACCAAAATGGGTCATTGATATGGCCTGCTTGTTTGCTGGCAAAAGAGATGACTTCAAATATTTCTGGCTGCTTAGGGAGGATTAGCGAGGCTTTTACAACGTGCTGTGGTAGAATACAGGCATGAATAAAAGGCAAAATAAAACTATAAACACTCATCTCTTAACTAGAACTGAGAAATATGTCTTATCAAATTATTTGAGAGCGGTAGTGAGCTCTCAAGTCTGTAGAAGTCTTTTGAAATATGATTTCCTGTACACTCATTACAACAACCTGGTAGAAAGAAGATCTGATTTTGCACATAACTTAGGCACGAGAAAAATCTGGGTATTTCAAGCAAAACTGAAAAGTTTTTCTTAGTCATTATGAAAAGTGGAACTCATGACCTTGCATTTATGTATTTACGTGGAACAGTTTTGTGGAAACATGACTTTCAATTTCTAGAGTTTTAACAGGAAAATGGGGAAATTTGGAAAAAGCTAAGGTCTGATAGCAAATAATTTATAGAGATAGCTAAGCATCACTTGCCAAGAATTTCCACATCCCATGGATGATAAAGTGCCTTTCTAAATAGGTGACTTCTACTAATGCAAGACTGGACATGAAAATCATCTAAAGCAATATCCCATGTACATGCAGACTAATGAGAGTCTGTGATGCGAAATGAGTTTTTTTGATAAAGAAAAGCATACATACATTTTAAAAGGGTAGAGGACTCATTCTACAATCTTGTGTTTCCAGGCATCCTGTTTGCCAGGGCTTGTTCTTGGGCAATTCTACATGCTCAACTGACCAATGACTGCATTGCCTTTGGCTGTGACATATTATTATTGGGCGTCAGTGATTTAAATACAATATTGCATGCATCGAATGATCGTAAACTCAGAAACATCCCTTTTTTTTGCCTATACTTCTGATTGGACTTCATAGGTGATGATGCTTATGGGTTTAGGCCTTCCGGTGCTTAGGTTTGTGCTTAAGATGAAATGTATGAATTATAGAATCATAGAATCACCAAGGTTGGAAAAGACCTAAAAGATCATCCAGTCCAACCGTTCACCTATTCCCAATAGCTCCTACTAAACCATGTCCCTCAACACAACATCCAGCCTTTCCTTGAACACCCCCAGGGTCGGTGACTCCACCACCTCCCTGGGCATCCATTCCAGTACCTGACCACCTACTTTCTGAAGAGTAATACTTCCTCATGTCCAGCCTGAATCTCCCCTGCTGTAGCTTGAAACCATTCCCTCTGGTCCTTTTTCATTTTGTTTTGCTGTCATATTTTTGTATGGAAAACTTAAATTTTTCTCCATCTCCATTTTCCTTTTAGTAGATCTCAACGAGATGTGGCAGGCAGGAAATCCTTCCTCGCTCAGGAGCTGCAGATGGTCCCTCCTGCAGGACCAAGCGCCTCCTGCAGTGCTTCAGCTTGGCTTCTCCTCTTCTGTGGAGGCCATGTCCCTGTTGTTGACGTCTGTTTGCTAAACGAGTGTCCCCTTACATACACAAACTATTGCATGCTTTTAAAGCAAAACCAGTTTGGCACTGATGATTCACTCCATGCAGTTTTGCACAGGCGGTGATTCTTTTCTGAGTAACACCCCCCCCCCAAAAAATTTCATTTCCTGACAGTTGAGACGTTTCTGAGCAGTACTCTTTTAACCTTTCCGTGGGTGCTCTTTTTCCCTCACACACTGCATTGGAGACACAGGTTTGAATTCACATTCCTCTTAGCATGGAGGTCGGTAATGGAAAAAATACTCTCCACTGGGAAGGGTGGCACTTGATATAGTACTCAAGGACCCCAGTAATGCTTGAGGACAATGAGTCTTGAGAAAATCTGTCAGCTTTCTCAGCTCTTTTCTTTTCCCTTATAATCAGAACTTTTGTTTTGTTCCCAGCCAAATGGCATCTGATGACGTAAATTGCTGTAAAGGGAAATTCATTCCACGGATCTGCTCTTGGATCCTATTGCAGGTTCTGGATTGCACCGGACTGTACATCTGTATCTGAAATGGTGGAGTTCCAGGGAGGCGCTAGCAGGGAATGCTGCCACTATTTCTGCACTGACATTTTTCACAAGGTTGTTGTCACTGCTTCCTTTGGGCAGCCTTGGTCTCTAATTCGGGAAGTCACACGGTTTACAAATTACTTCAATTTCTAAATGAACGGAGACTACAGAGAAAATGACAGTGTCCCAATTCCCCATTTTGCATTATTTTTGAAGTTTTTCTCTCTCTGAAATTGCTAATAACAGATGCTTGAATTCTAGTCAAGTGAAAAATTCCAATTGATTTCAAAAGAAGTTGGATTGTATCCTAGCATCAGTTTGGCACCTATGAAAACACAAACATATGCAAGGGCTTCACTTTCAACTGCACTCAAAAATAATAGTTAAAAAAAATCTAATGGCAAAATTCTGAAACTACTTATTTAGTTTGGGGGGGAAAAAAGCTCTTCAGAATGTACAGAAGTTTCTGATAGGAAATTTAAGTCGTTGCTTAACAGCTTTGAATGTCAAGTATGTCTGAAAACTTGAATGTAGGCCATGCTGTCTATTTGTCAAAGGAATTGCCTTTGATCTTATCATCCCGCTTTCTGTGGCTTTTAAGTTCAGTAATACTCGGTTCTGAAGACATCTTACTTTGGCTAGGGATTCCCTTGTATATGTTTGATTTGGGTTCAGTCTTGGGGTGTTCTCTTCTAGTTGGGCTCAAGCATATGGTTTGATTTTATGTTAACTTACAGCATTTCTTACATATGCCCATTACTCATTCACCACGCAAGTTCAATAAAATTATGGCATCTTTTATTTTTTTTTTATTTAAAGCTGACAAAGAAGTCATACTTAAAACCAATCTAGGAAATTACTTCATTGTCAAAATTATTTCCTCTGATCATTTCCATGCTTTAATTTTATATTATTCTTTCTGGAGCTGTAGCGGAGGACTTTTACCACTGGAATGAACAAGAAAATGACATCATAGTAAAATGTCATGTTTTTTCAGCTCTTAAATGGCTGAACTACAATTAATCAAAATTGGTGTGATTTTTATGAAGTGATACGACCAATAATTTAGAGTTTTAATTGGTACCTGAAATGTCTCTTCTAAAGCATAAACATTTAGAAATAGTGATATTTTTTCTTTTTCTTTTTTATTAATAGAACTACACAAAACGAATGTGATCACCCATTGCTAGCATCAAGTGTAGCCTGCACCATGTGAAATGGTGAATACAACAGGGTTAAAAGATGCCTATTTTTCTTTGCTCTGTCTGAGAGGTTGTTGTGAGTAACTCTGAAAAGATAGCTCGTTCCATTTGAAGCTGCACGGAGCAGAGCATGGGATGGCAGCCTGCCAATTAGCGATCCATTTTCTCAGCAACCCAGTTTGAGGCGATGCCAACCAGTCACATACATCTTATCTTCAGCATCGTAGTGCAGTCTCGTAATTCGTGCAAAATTATGTTTGACGTTAAATTATAAACCCTTAGTGTAATAATAAAAAAAAATAAATAACCCTAAAAGCAAATTAAAAATTATGTTTTCGCTGGAGCAGGTTATAAGCCCACTAGAAATGTGATCTGTAGTCATCAGTCTATGGGCAAAATTCCATTTCTCAATGTTTTTTTTTTTTTTTTTTCCTCTTTACTGAGAAGAAAAAAAAAAAGCTGTAATTCACAAAATGAAGTTAGTTAGTCCAAGATACCTTTCTTATTTTTTTTTCTTTAAGGTGGTAAATAGTAGGTTTTTTTCTTTCTATTTTTTGCTGTCCCACATTCAAACTACTATAGTGTGGCCCCTTGCGGTGTCCCAGTGTTACCAGCTGCAGGTTTGGGGAGGGAAATTTTCTTCATCCTTCCAAGGTACGATGCAGCACCATGTTTCCTGTTGTCTCCTACTGACTCACAAATAGCCATTGATTCGTAAAGGCTGAGGAGAAGACTGCAAGAGTGATTGAAAGAAGAGCTCAATGGAGAGAGAAACCATTTTTTTCATGATAACTTTGGTATATTACAGGTTATCAACATCATTACATACACACTGTGTTATTTTTCCTTCTAGACTTAACAATGTTTTCCAACATGTCTGCGGTGTTAGAGCGTTATTTATTCTAAGAACATTTTTAAATAAAGAAAACTTCTAACAACTGTGATGATCTCTGCATACCTGAAATCCTAGGCCAAGTTCAGCCCTTTGCTGTTCTCTTGGTGTCATCTGTAAGGAAGAATTCGTGAGTCTGGAAGAATTAAATTTTTGGAGATATTTTAGTGGATGACATGAAGTATTATTTTATGAAGGTTGGCTTTACAAGTTTTTTTTTTATAAAAAGGTAATTACTGTGAAGATTTCTGAAGTTTGATTGTTTACATGCAGAATTTTTCTCATTAATTGGAATTCAAGCTTCATTGAAAACGGCTTCAGAAATAGTTCAGTGCCCAAATATATGAAAATAATGCAAAATCACTTAAAATCTGGCTTTCACTTGCTTTGCAGAGTAGACTTCACTTTTACATCACAATGTAGATAATTAGTTGACACATCTATGTTCATACTTAACACCAGCTATTCAGAAAGCCAGAGAGATATTCATGTTCATTTGGTCGTATAATGCAATAAGAAGGGCTTAATCATTGTTAATTTGGGTAGTATCTACTTCTTTCTGTAGACTGGAACATTGAGAGTGGGACAGTGTCCATTCAACTGCCTTGAAACTTGCCTGAAATGTGGCTTTCTGCTTTCTCCTCCATGTCTGATTGTTTTCCAAGGAAAGACCATAATTTGGGATAAGTTCTGCTCTCCAACAGACTTATGTGTGGGGATGGTATTTCTGAGCTTGTGCGTCTGTAAGGCCATGCACTCTACTGTGCTGAATCCAAGAGAAGACTTCCAAGTGATTGCCAGGTAACTCCAAATGCTTTCATATCTTCTAGTGCCAAATTAATTCTAGTATTGGAAATTAATTTCCTAGCATGTTTGGGGAATAAAGAGGTGAATTAATTACTGCAGGCATCATGATACCATCCAAAGTCTGCGGTTAGTTATTGGTTCAGATTAGCATGAAACTGGTAGTAATTGGGTTCTGCTTCTTTATCATTCAAGAGCTCTTTTACATGACAACACGATATACACATCTCCAAGGGATACCTCTGGCACTTCCACTGCTCTCATTTCTTTGCACACCCTTGTTCATTATTGAAACTTGGAACCAAAGCAGGATATGGGGAGGTCTGTCCGTCTGCTTTATTTCACCTAAGCAAACTCTACGCTCCCTTGTTAGCACAGGAAGCGTTTATGAAAGTTGTTTAAAGAGCAATTGCTCTTCACCAGGGATGCTTGCCTTTGCTCTGAATTTAAATCAGGTTCATGACGCAGAAGGGAAACGTAAAGCTTCTGGGCTGTGTTTCTGAGCTGAGTGTTGTTGATGGGCCTCAAAGTGCCCAAGAAGAGGGAGATCTCATCAGACTGGCTATGTATTTAGGCAACTATATGGCCCCATATTGTTGTATATCATTAAAATTGTGTACAGAAGATGGAATTAGGAAGTTTAAAATAAATAATAGAAATAAGTTCTGAATGCTGTCAAGTAAATGTAATTGTATTGTTAGAACTGGAGCTCCTAGAGCCATATTGGTGCAGAGTCTGTGTCTATGGGAATTTAACGAATACAGATTGTAGGTCAACAAGTAGTGCCTATACTGCCTGTACTTGTTTTTGTTGTTGCCATTACATTTCCTGTGTGTTTTGCTATAAAGTCTCATTCTCTTTATCTGTCTTGACAGACGGAATCAGTAAATGTTACATTATCAAGTTTTATCTAAAAATGTCTTCCACTGATAGTGCATTTATCTCGTGTCATAATAGCTCTTTGTACCAAAGCACTGAGAGCTGGGAAAATCCTGGCTGGAGAGTAAGCTTGCATTTTTGAAGTAGTAAAAAGTTCTTTGTTCTTACAGCATCCTATTTTTAGAGTGAACTTAATTAAAATGAGTAAGGAATTTAGAAATCTGGAATAGGAAAAATGGGTCATTATTAATTACCATGTATATAATAAGTCCAGGGCTGTAGTCTTTCCTCACAATGCATGTATGTCTTTTCCTTCCTCACAGACATTTCTCACTATCAGTTGACTCCACTTCCTTTCTCTACAGCCCTGGCTTAACAAATTGCTAAGCTGTTTACCTAGCTGGAAGAAGTCAAGGAGGCTTTTTTGGGTTCTACTCAGACACTGTTGAGAGCATTTCCATGTCGAATTAAGCATAATGTGCTGTCAAAATTCAGCTTCACTAATGCATCTCCACAACCTCTTTCCCTTCTTCCATGCCTTCAGCACCTTCTCCCTTTCACCTGATATCTGTGAGATCACAGTCAGGAATATGTGTTTCTTTAGGTGGTGAGGACAGAGGGGAATAATGGTGTCCTGTGTTCATACTGTTTGCAAATGATTATTCATATTCTATGATCAATACGATTCAACTTGGCTTTATCCTTCCCGTTCCTTCCTTTCTACCTTGTCAGCCTATTTTTCTGTCAGCATTCCTCTTGGGACTTTCCTGTGCTCTTCCTCCCCATCTTCCGAACTCTTTTGTGACTTCTCTGACTCTACTCTGTTCCTATATATATTTGTCCTGGTCTGGGCCTGTCTGTGCCATCTGGGCCACCTCGACTTCTGCCCGGGTGAAGCTCTCAATGCAAACAGCTCATTGCAGCTGCTGGGCTGGAGTCATTCTGTTCTTCCAACACGTACCACTGCTTCCATTCCTCTACAAGGCCAGATGACCGAAGTAAGGGGCTTATTATTCATTTCTTTGTTTCTTTTAGAAGCAACATCGAACTGGAAAACTGTAATGCAATACCAACTTCTCATGAATGGGGGAGCTTAAGGTCATGAGTAGTTCTTCTCTCTCCTCTCCTTTCAAACTTGCAAGCTTTGGTTGGAGATCAGTCATATTTGACATTTCCATGAAGATTTCTTAAATAATTCATTTAAACTATGATAAGTTGGTAAAAGATTACCACTATGGTTCCTCTGGTTGTACAGAAATTACTAAACTGTCAAGGTTGGACTGGTTCACGCTGTTGAATATCCTGTTTTTACGCTCATAATTCTAGGATTATTCCCTGTGACATCCTGTCAAACGACTTCAGTTTGGACTCCAGTAAATTATGCCCCTTGGGTTTCTCTGAGTGCCTACAAATAGACAGGAAATGTTCAGCAGTGATTAAAGCACATCAATATACTCTGTCAAGTAGTTGCTGTTTTTAAAACTACAGGTGGATAAATCTTAGCAATAGAAAAATTGGCTATGTAAACTAATTATGTTGGTTTTATTTTTGGCTAGATAGGAGGGCTATAAATAATGTATCTATAATATATTTATACAGTGCAATGCTTTTATAAAAATGAAAGAGAAACCAAAGAATAAATAACTCCTCATAGAGATTGTATTTGGTCTCATAAACCTCAAACTTTTTTGGTTTATGTCAAGTACTATATGACTATTGAAGGAAATGACAAAAAAAAAAAGACAAGAAGATGAAGTTTCTACCGCAGTCTAGTCTTGTATTAATATTTTTCACTTCTAGTTTTTCCATTTGTGACTTACTCTGCTGCAATAGAATAAAGAGTAAGGAGGATATTATAGTCAGATCTTCAGACATAAGTTGGGTGGTAAAACCTTGCAGCATTTCAGGTTTGCAGAGCCTGCTGCTGCAAACACTTAGAGCAACGTGCACGGCCTCTCTGTTGGAGCAGCAACACGAAGCCAGCACTGTGTGGAAGACTGTTTGCTGACTGAGCTCCAAACCCACAGCTTTTCTGCACTTAGTGCTTGGGAGAGGGGGATAGAAGGGCTGGAAAAGGAAAATAAAGTGATTGTAGACGAGTTTTAAATAATTGAGCTACATTTCATTAATTTCTTGACTTCCAGGAATGTGACTTCAGGTGCTGGTTTATTTTAGAGATAGTGGTCAGTGACAGGCAAGATTTAGATCTATAGTAACTCAGACTCCTAAATATGGATTTAGTCTGTTAATTTAGAATCCTGTTTTTTCATCTTTCTCCACTACTTTGTAAGTGCATAAATCCCTACATGTTTTACTACAACAAACACCATAAATACCTGCTACAGGCATTTCCTGCTGTCCCTAGATGCCAGTACTGAGCTTGCCAACCTCTTTCTCTGATCTAGGTTTCATGGTGACTTCTCAGATACGTTTAACTTAGATGATAGACTAGACTTTGACCAAAAAGCATTGTGATCATTTTTATTCATTAGGAGAAGACAGAAGGTTAAAATCTAGAAAGGACCCCCTTCTTCCTAAAATATCTCAATTCTCCCAAATTACTGTCAGCCATGAGATCACTTGAAGGGCTACATGTAGATGCATAAGCCAAAAGCGTGCCTTGAACACTTCTCTTTGAATAGAACAAATCTATCATTCATTCAAACAAACAAAACCCCCTCGGAGCCTAATATCCTTAGTGTCATCATTAATTATAATATGCAATCATAATCATTTTGGAGGTAGACCTGGGGTTAATTTGGCCAAACAACTGCTGATCACTAACAGTGGCCTATTCAAGTGTATGAAAATGATTCCCTGTAGTTCTTACATGTATGACGGAAGTAATATATTGTGGGTTTTTTTTTTTTCCTACAGGCTGAGTGCCAAGGTATTAATGTTCCCTGTGACTCTGATTCACAATGACTGGATACTTTTAGCTCTATCTTTTTATGAACAGGTGGATAGGAAATCGTTTTGGCATAGAACAAATGGGGAGAGGTGCTACAATGGATTGTCTCTGCGTTAAGGGCCCGCTGCCAGTCTATTTTTTTCCCCCCCCTGTTTTCCTTTTATAGCTGGCTCTGAAACAGTGTGCAGGTTTCTTTTGTCAGAAAGAGGAGTCTTTTGAGGCATCCAGTCGTGTCACTGTCCTACCTGCACTGACACTGTGCTGCTCCCTGGGAGCTTTGTTCGTTTGACAGCAGCCTGGTGAAACTGCTCTTACTGAAAGCCCAGAAGTGGCAGCAGGCACAATAAGGCCTTAAATCAGCTCTGCTCTTGTGGTTTGGTGTCCATGCTGTAGCTAGGGCTTGTTGCAATATTTATGTGCATGCCATCATACTTGCAAAGTGGAGGTAAAAGTTGATAGATTCAAAAGTACAGTAAAAATAATAATAATAAATAAATTGATGTTTCACAGCTGCTCAGAGTACATAGTTGTGAAGGAAACAGTTTAAATAGAGAAAACCTGAGAACTTTCCTACAGTGTTTGAGCAGATAAGGCTGCAGGCTGCATGCTAATTGCATGAACTGCATGGCTATAGACTTGATCCCCTGTGGGTGGCACCCCCAAATAAGCTGTTTTGATGGGAAGCAATAAATAATTAAGAAAACGAGGATCCATTAGGTTCATTTTCACTGACAAATTTATATGCGATGGCCAAAATGACTTGAATGAAACCAGAAACTTTTTCTAGTAGTGGGAGGGTGATGCAGGAAGAGTGATTAAAAAGAAAAAAATTGATGTGAACTTTGCTTTTCCCCATCTCTAGATTTCCCAAAAACCAACTAACCAATCACGTGTTTCTAACTATAGTGAAATGAACTGGTTCAAAGCAACAGAAGGAAAAAAATAAGATCTGAATTATCACATTATCTCTTTTGTTTAAGGATAATTGTTTGGGAGAAGGGGAGAGGGAAAGAGTAAATGCTGTACCTGACTGGAACAAGGCAATACAACCAATGAAGAAAAGGCACTGTTGGAGGATGTTTCAGTTTTATGACATTATTGCCCACGCATTGGTTTTGAGGAAATATGCATGGGCATAAACTTCTACATCTTACAGAAAGAAAAGAGTCGACTGACTCACTGGCAGTAGCAATGTAACGTACTTTGGAACAGCCAGAGCCAAGCATATGGTATTCATCATTAGCAGCAGCAACAGAAATGATTGCTGTGGGGTTGGGGCTGCGATACCCACTGCCTGGCTCCTCATCTCTGTGATGCCCTCAGTGCTGCCTCCAACACAATGTTCCATGTGTGGTCTGGGGCTTCTGCCCCTCAAGCTGCTGCTACATTCGATTCTCGCGGTCACCTCCATGCGATAAGCTCCCTCATTAAGAGTTTTACCTTTGTTTTCCCCTTCCTCATCCTACTGTTTATGAGCCCTATTAATCTGCAAGACTATAAAGTCTATCCAAAGAAACACTATATGACAAAAAGAGCTCTTTGCTGTTGTTGTTTTTTTTTTTTCCTTCTCCACTCTTCATGTAGCGATTGGCTGGGGAGCTTGGAGACCTGAATCAAAACCTGAAGCTGTCAACTTGCTGAAGTAGTAAGTAGCTTTTAAAACGTCATTACCATTCACTGTTATCATTATGCTTACATAGTACAACAGCAGCTCAGCATTGGTTTGATAGTCACAGCGATCATCTGTGCTCCTCAATAGCTTTTGAAATGTTCCTCTATAACATAAATGTCTGGCAGTACCTCAGGATCGAGACAAATGTTTAATATCTGCGTTACTAATGGTGAAACTGAGATATAGAATGTCTTAAGTGGCTGAACCCGAGAGCATTATGCTGTGAGAGAGCTCTCCAGGCTGGGTGAGAGCCCTGGAGGGTCCCCATCACACCAGGGGAAGACTTTAAGATCTGCAGCTACTTCAGTTCTCTTATAGATGACCCTGGGCATCTTGGTGGGTATTGCAGTGCTATGTTAATTTACTCTTGAGATGAGAGGAAGTTGATTTTTGCTATTTGTATTCAGATATGGAGTTGGAGAGCAGGCTCTTTGCTGCTGTTCTGTGAATTGTGAAGTTTAGCTTTATGCTTCCACATATTTGCTGTTGTTTAGAAATAGGAAGAAAATGCATTTAAATGGCACAAAAACCAGCACGTGCAAAAAAACCTGAGAAGTTAGAGAATTAAAAAGTGCACTGTATCTGGTGGGTCCATTCCTCCAAACGGAGGAAACTGTTTTTTTTTACCTCGCTAACATTCTCCCTTGCAACCTTCTCAACGTTCTCATTCAACGTCAGCGATTCCTCCACATGAGGATTTCCTTTGTTTATTTCTGTATTTATTTGAACTACTGAGTGTGATGAATCTAGCAATGACTTAGTCTGCAACCATTCTCTTGTCGCTGTCCTCAAAATTCAAATTCAGTTTGTAGTCTCTTTTTACCAGATCAATACTGTATAAAATATTGTTGTGTCGTGCTGTTACTGGACTGTGTTACTTCAGGAAAATAATTGAAGTTACCTTTCATCTCAGAGTACTTTAATGTACTTCTTTATCTGTTTTAAACTGTGAACAATTTCCTACTTGAAATGGGGAAACTGTATAGGGCATCTTTATTTCTGACCTTAGGTTGCATTTCTACACTTCTAGAAATATTAGCTTGTTACTGAAATGTGACCTTTGCTTTCAGTACCATGCATCTATGTTCTGCCACACCCCAGCCACCAGATTTTCCATGTGAAATACAGTATTTCTATCCATCTTTCATTTTTTTTAAAGCCTGGTCTAGAACGATGACAAGACTGTGTGAATGATAATATGTGAATTTTGTATTCCCTGTAGCGAGGCATCATTTTGGTTCTTTACAGAATATGTATGGCAGTTTATTGCTTTCATGAAATATTGGAGGAATGCAAAGATGAGAAGTTTAGTGCTTGGTAAGAAAGCCAGAATCCAAACAATGCTTCAAAGGCTTTTAAAATAAATCTTTATGTCTGTGTTGACAAATTTGTGGATAATTCCACTGAAGTAGTACCATTTGAGATTGATATTTCCATTGAGAGAAGATCTTAACACAATTATATTCAGATTTGGCCAAAGTGTCTTCCTATCTGAGGCCACCTCGATGCAGGGCAAGCTGAATCCTCTTGGGCCAAATTAAAGCACCAGCCTCTACCTGAGGACCTTCATCTCTACAGCTTCCCCATCAGTTTCCCACATGTAAGTTCACAGAGGAACTAATGGCACATGGAATGAGTTGTACTTTGTAGTACAAGTCCTTTGAGATGGGATTTCTCAACTTCTGCTTTTGGCCACCTTGTTCCATGCTTGCCTAAGCCAAACCATTAGTCTTTGTTTGACCGAGGAGTGAAAGCTGTTAGTGCAACCAATTAATTGTACCGGGATGCTTTTTAGCTATTTTTTGACATTGTAGGCCAATCCTTCACTTCTCTTGGATCTGTTTTCTCAATCCATGGAAACATTTGTGAGAAAGGAACTAATGGAAATGAGTTTTAATGTGAAAAGAGAAGGTGCTCAGTTCAGCCTCTGTTAGCTGATATTAAGGGCTCATGTGGGACAGCTCTTGTCCCATGGAGTAACCTCTATGATCTGCTAATTAGGGTGGCAGTACCTGCTTGTAGGAATGCCTGCAACAAAACAGGAGCAAACAAATTAAGGTAATCAATGAAATTTGAAGTGGGAGATTAAGAGATGAGGGAGATATGGGAAAGGAAAGGGGAAATTGTAGTATTAAGCCTGACTTTCCATCCCTTCCCATACTCTTTGGACAGTCCTGCTATGTCTGCACTGAATTTGCTCCTCCTGTGCTTGCAGTTGCTGCTGGCGTCCTGAGGAGAGGAGGAGGAGGGAGGTGAGGCTGAAGCCCATCTGCTCCAGCTCCTGTGCTCTGCCCTGTTCTCCTGCTGGGCAGAGAGGATGGGGCAGTTCTGATGTTCAGATTGCTGGCTGTATGGGATAAAAAAGCACTTAGCAGAATTGGTGGGAGCAGGCAGATTTTACCAATTTATGTTGCCAAGCTACATACCACAAATGTGTCTGTAAGCGCTGAGAAATGAGTATGACTGCAGCTTTGTTTATAAGTGGCATAAAACCAACAAAGACAGCCAGTCACCCAGCTTTTATAAATTACATTTTTTAACTGAAAACATAATGAGGTTAAGATTGCTGCTTCTGATTTCCAGGTTTTTTTTGTTTTTTTTTTAATTTCTCTAATTTTTACCTCACTTCCCCCATTCTCTCCTTCCCTCACTCAAATGCACAGAGAGGACAGAAACGGGGGGAAAAAAGAGCAAGATTCATAAAGAGTAGAAAAAGACAACTTTGAAGTAATTGATACAGTATTTCTGCTCTTTGATAAACTTCACATTTTCCTGAGGTAGAAAGCGTGCAGCTCTTTAAGTAGAGGGCTGTAATTTGGGACTTCAGCCAGAGATGTGCTTGTGGGAAGCAAAAATGGCCTTCACAGCACTTGGGGGAATGCAGATTTTTAAATTAAGTGTTTAAATTCAAAAAGAAAAAAAAAAAAATTAATAACAATCCTGCTGCTGTTGTAAAAATGACCCTAAAGTCAAATGCGCAGTGCTTGTGTTACTGAAAGTTGTAGTAGACAGAGGAATTTGGATGAACTTTTACCAATGAATCTCTGCTGTTTATTTAAATTAAACAATATTTGCTTTTGTTGTATACCATGCAGATGTCTTTCCAAGATTTTTTTTTTTTAATATATAAAGCTTTTAAGGCTTTTCTTGCTGTCTGATCTCTTTAAATGTACTGTATATCACATTTATGAAATGCATTGGTACCAGAAAGAAGCAGACGACTTTGTTTTTAAACAAAGACCCCAGAATAAGGGGCAATGTTTTTCCCCTCACAGGTGATGGAGTATGTACAAAGAATGCAGCAGATAATGGCAGTCCTGTCCTCTGAACAGATGGTGATGGTCCTGTTGCTAGGATAAGGCCTGAAGAATTTAGTTTTTAATTCCACATTATTTGCCTCAGTGCCATGAATATCCCTAGGTTTCCTCAGGCAAAAATACAACAAATACACAGAAAGAGAAAGAGAAGTGACATGCGGATAGAAAAGGAGACAGAGCACGGGAAAGGACTGGAGCCAGGTCAATAGAAGCTTTTGGGAAAATGTCTGCTCAGCTGTCTGCAATCACCTGGGTTTGAAAGGCAGGCAGGAAGGAAGATTGGTTTGGCATGAGAACGAGGCCTTTGATGCTTTAGATACCACAGAGAAAAATACCCATTTCTTCCCATTAGAAGTCTGTTGACTTTCCTAATTAAGATAAACATGTTTCTGAAGAAGTTAGCTCTCACAGTACTACATTTGTAAAAACAACCGTGCTTTTAAAATATATACACAGACAAGGACGTGTGCCAAGAACTAGTGCTGGTGTGGTCTTACAAATCACTTTACAGGAATATTTTTAAATCATTGCCTTATTTAAAAGTGAGCGGATTTCATTCCCTCCAGTCAATTAAATATCTAATTTCAACTCAAGTAGATAATAACTGAAGTATTTTTATATAAATGAATGAACAGTTAGAAAACTGTTAAAACACACAGCCCTCGAGCATGAAAAATATATTCGTTTAACAATTTTATTCTTTTATCCCTAATTTACTACAGAGATTTTGCGCTTTACATCATTTTAGTTTGTGACACTGGGGGGAAAAGAAATCTAATTTCAAAAAGATGAATTCAGACTGAAATTCTCCAGGATCTCATTGCCACCTGAATTATTCCAGCAACTGCATTATGTGTGTGGTGGACAGCATTGATTGACAATTGTGAGTTGGCAAAAGAACTGTTATGGGAAAACCTGTGAATACTTCTAGTGCCTGTGACCCAGTCCCCACATTAATGCACATGCAAAATGTCCAACAAAACCAAACCAACACAGCCTGCCCTCCTGAAATTTGGGGGATTAATCTGAATGTTCTGCTCTTTCTAGGTGTCTACACAAAGCTGGACTGCATCAACAGTTCCCCGTTTTCAGCTGCTCTGTGGCTGGTGAGTCTCTCAACTTGCTGATTCCAGATCCCCCCCCATCTCCATAGAAGTTCTGTTGACTGGGATGAAATCCATGCCATCTATGTTGAGATCCACCACGTAAAAAATATAGCTAACAGGAAATCACATGATGAAAACATCTCCTGTTTGGTGCCTGAACGCAAGTGGAGAAAAATCTGGATGAAAGCATATAGGACTTAAAATATGTGCCAAAATATACCATACACATGTTATTTATGCACGCGTGTATGTGTGTATATATATGCATAATTCATGCCTCTATACCCAAAAAAAGAAAAAAAAGTCATTTTTATCAACAACTAAAAAAAGTTATGCCTAAGAAAGATAATTTCAAAATTAGCTCACTCAGAACAGATGCTTTAGGAGGTCTCCAAACAGTTGCTGTTTTCACTGTGTGTCCAAAAGCATCCATAAGTGTAATATAAAAAGGATCAGAGTTTATTGATACTTGGCTGTCTGGGCACCATGTTGTCTCAGAACCCTCTGGACAAGCCAACTCAGTTTTCCCTTTAACTAATGTCTTTCCAGTAGATCCAAACACCCCATCTTTTACCTCAGCCTCACTTGTGGAGATTCATTATCAGTTCATGGATTTTTTTTCTTCTGTCACCTTCAGTGTCTCCTAACAACCAACCACCTGCCATGCTTCCTTTTTAAGTACCTATCGATAGTATCTTGTTCTCAATTCTGTCTTTTGTTCTACCGCATTCGGAGAATTTTGCTTAATATTTGATGTCAAGAAGTGAGATGTACCAGCTACAGATAGCAGCAACCTTCTTTCCCTTCCGAGTGCAAAGGGGAGAAGGAGGGAGGTGGTGGAGTCACCTTCCCTATAGTTTGCAAGAAAAGAATAGGTGTTGCGTTGAGTGTGATGTTGTTTAGCAGGCATGGGTAGATGGTTGGACTTGGTGGTCTTAGTGGTCACTTATAACCTTAATGATTCTCCGATTCTAAGGTGAACTTTCTAATGTGTTGCTCATCTTGGTCTGTATTAGGAGCTTGCTGCAGAACCCTATTCTGGAGCATCTTTCTTTCCATTATCTCCATTGAAGATTAAGGGTAACTTTCTCGGATGTGCCTGTAATGGTTAGATGCCTTAGTGAGGCTCCCAAGTATTCTCCAACTCATTGCACAAAATGATGAGGTGAATTTTTCACAGTCCTTCATGTGAAAATAAATAATAATACCTCTGAAACTTGATCAGAGATGAAAGAAACCTTTTCCTTTGGAGAGCTGGAGAATTGTTTTCCCATATAGTGTGGTTTATGATACACACAGAAGCCTTTGTGGCTCATGATGTTTATCCTTCGTGTTGCAGGAAGGAGTCAGATGCATGCCTTCAAGTGAGATAATGTGTCACTTCTGACATTTCTCTTTCTAAAGTTTGTGTTCTTTCTTTTAAATACTGCCTGTTCATTTACAAATCTGTTCTGAAGAAAGACTGTGCTACCCTTCTTGATTCCTGGTTAATAAAATATAATATGCTATTACCTTTCAGATGATCGGAATGGTGTTGAAACTGGAGGAAAACATTTCTCCTTAACCTCATCAGAATTTGATATAAATTTCCTTAAAAACAGGCTTTCAGGTTTTCTTTGCTTTCTAATTTTAGACATATTTTTTTCTTCATGCAGAAGCAAAGGTGTCAGTGGCATAGCTAGCTTGTGTAATGAAACACATAGATTTCTGTTCAACTTATTTTATTTCTCACATTCATCATTCATATTTAATGCCACAGGCATTAGACTTCTTAATTCCCTATATTGAATTGAAGAGGCACACACAGCATGTGCTCCAGTTTAATGACTCATAATTCTTCACCGATGGCACACTTTTTCACCTGAAAAACTCGTGGTGCCAAACTTCTGCTCCCATCTGCATCGCAGTCAGCATCCTAAACAAGGTGGTGATGGCTGGAGAGCTGAGTGGTTGGAAAGTGTGAGGTGCTAACCTTAAATGCCTCTTGGTGTGAGAGTGGAATACTGGCTTAAGGGTTATTTTGTTGATGTGGCTTTTTTCTCTTTAATTGAATCTCAGAAGTCACTGACTTCTGTCCCACTGGCTCTCGGTCATGCCTCTTTTCTTTGCCATTCTCTTTTTGTGAGCCAAGTTTCAAGTAACATGAAACTCTTCCCCCACCCTAAGCTAATTAGCATTAATCTTCTGAATAGATTTGCCAATAATATTTTCAGCAAAAAGGCTTCACAGACTTTAGCAGGACTAGTGGATCAGATGAATGACAATGGAATCTGGCGTTGGTATCTCAAACTAAGATGCAGTGGGCTAGGCATTATCCTCAATGTGTTTACTTACAAATATCTCATAGAAGTGTCACAGTAGTTAGGGTTATTGATTTGGAAGAATCTTTGTATCTTGAAATAAAATAATATACAACTACAACATGTTAATGGTGTTAGGGCAGTGTCACACCTTTAGAAACACTTACCAGTCCTCACAGACCTGAAGCTTAGGTAGACTTACCTTTTTGTGATTTCCAAATGGACAGATAGAGACATTGATAAGCTATGGCTTGTTACCCGTGAACATTCTGATAGCCAAATGCAGCATCCACAGGAAAACAAAAATCAACACTGAATTTCCTCTCTAAGTAGTTGTGAGAAACATTCCTGAGAGTTTCCCTCTGTTGCTGTCAGGAAATGAGAGGGAAAGAGCAAAGAAATGAAGTTGCCTAGTTATGTGAGGGGAGAGCATGCTTGAACAAGAGTAATGACTCTTTACAATAAAAGTCATCTCTGGAGTAGAATATTTCTCCTTCAAGACATTCTCAAGGCATGTGTTTTCTTAGGAGACAGGTGGGATAGAAATGGGTAAGGAGGAGAATGGTTCCAGTCTTGTTCCCAGCAAAGGCTGCAGACTAGATGCTGGCTGGTGTGGTGTGTGAAGAGAGAACATACAGCTATTTGAGCAGCTTTAGAATACCTGCCTTCTTAGCAGTGTGTTCACTGGGGTAATCATTCTACAGAACCATTTACTGTCTGGCACTGACCTCTGCATGGCTGGCTTCTTTGTGTCTGTGTGTTCAGCACAGTAAAAGCACAGCTGTCCTGCTGGGAAAAGGCTTTATTCAATGTCAGAAAGGCTTCATTCATTGTCAGGCATGTAGTGAGGAGGAGGACGAGTGGCAGAGGTTATCCAGGTACAGGTCCTTTTAAATATAACATCAATTTTTAAGGGAGCTCACGTAAGTGTAAGAAGTTATCCTTGAGTGAATATGATCGTCGTGAGAAAATGAGAATTATTCTGTTGATGAATAGCAATTTAACCTTAGTCTACATAATATACATGACATTTTTCTTTGGAACGTATCCTAAAGTATTCAAAAGAAAGGGGAAAAAAAAAAAGGCACTTAATGGAAAAGATCTTCAAATATTTCAGCATAAAAGTGAAAAATTTATATCTAGGAGAGGGCTTAGAGGCCACCTCCTTTGCATTCCTGTCCCAAAGTAGGACCAGCACAACCTAAAATATGCTTCAACTGCCAGCTTTTTTCCTCCTTTCTTCTGCCTCTTGGAAATCCAGCTGTTATTTTTGTAACTTTTCAAAGGTTTATAGAATCATAGAATGGTTCCTTCTTCCTTTTTTTTTTTTTTTTTGTAAAGATCTTAATGTATTTAGTGTTCTGATTTCTCTTTAGTAGCTAGAAATGTCTCAGAAAGTGGTTATTAATAAATCATTAAAGGTTTGCATCTCGTTTCATTTCCGTGCTGTTCTACTACTGTGTATTTTCAGCCACAGTACAAAGTCATTCTGAAAATCTGAATTTTTGTTTTGTTTTACAACAGAGTCAAGCCTAAATGATGCTGACAAGCCTACAGCTTTTTCCTTTACCTGTAATGCTTTATTACTCAAGTTCTTTGCTTAGATAAAAGATTTCTTAGCCTGATCTTGTTTTATCTGGCATCTATGATGCGGAAATAATCATGCATGCAGGGTTTTACAAACGGCATATCTTGAAGAGAACGTGGAGAAACTTCAATGATAGGGCTTTGCTGGGAATAGGGAATAGCAAGGTTGAGTATAATGCTTGATAACTACTGATAGTCTCAGTAGCACCAAAGGAGGTATGGGAAATGATGAAAAAAACTTATAAAAGGTAAACTGACTATAATTCAAACTAAATATCTCCCCTCGTGCAGAAGCTCTTTTTAAATTACTCAGACAAATGAGCTCATTTATGGAATATTTTGTACTGCATGAACTTATATGGGCACCTGTCATGTATATATATTTTTAATACTGAACTTGTATAGATGGCTTAAAGTCCCCCTTGCCCTTTAGTAAATTTAAATCTCCCACAAAGCTGCTGTACAGTAGTCATAAAGAAACATTTATGGTTCAACATAATTTCCCTTCATTTCTTTTTCTTTCTTTTTTTAAAAAAAGAAAAGGCAGTTTAAAAGTAATAAAGCACTTCCTTCTGTAAATCTTTGATCTTTTTTCTTCCTAAGGGAAGATTAATTTGTAAATATGCTAATGGATTTGTATAATATGAAACCTTCATAAGAAAAACTACATTAGTTCATATGAATGAACACATCTATCTTATTCAATTTATAAACTAATGGCTGAGAGCATCAACACTGCGCTCTGCTCAGTCTCTTGTCCAAAATCACTGCATGCATTTCTCAAACAATACAGAATTTTACAGAACAGAAATGTGTTAAATAGGACCAGTTTTATCACCTTTGACTCTTTTCTTGTTTGACTGCAGCACTGAGACTTGCTGATGTTCCAACAAGACAAATACCCTGCTTGGAGGAAATCCATTGCTAACGTGATGGGAGTTGCAATGTGTGGACATTAATTACCTGGCTGCGTGCCCTCCTAACGAACCCTGATGTTTGCCACCAAAGGGGCTGAGTGTGCCAGTACAGTGCTCACTTGGGCAAGCACCCCAGCAGCTGCAGGACCAAGGCAGATGTCACAGCTTAGGAGCAAAGCTCAGAACATGGCCCCTGCCAGAACCTTGTTGGGTAGCAATGTTGTTTATTTCCCTTTGGAAAACTTGGGCTGCTGCCTCCTACCTTCCCCCACTCCCCCCTTCCCCCCCCATGATCGTATTGGCTGTAATGGGGGGGCCAAGCTACCCAGCAGGAGGGGAGGGACCTGGATGAGTAGGTTCCTTACGGTGGGATTTACTCTCACTGGAGGTGCAATAAGAAGTGGTGGGCTGCAGCTTCCTTCTCTCCGCTCTACGAAGCTCCATTCTTCTTTTCTGCACCTGGAGCCCACATTTCATCTCCTTGCTTTTTCCTTGCTTTGATTTATTTTGGGTCTTAGCTGAGAACGTTGCCGCGATGGCAACATCCTCTCTAGAAGGAGAGGTGGAATTGGAGATGGAGGAGACACAGACAGCAGGGTGGGTAGACCCTGCTATATCCATCTAGAACTTTCTTCCAGTTTCTCTCTGCCATTTGTTTCTTCATTCTGTTTCTTTTTGCCTCCTTGCTTTCATAAACCGTGTAGTACCAATGGGAACTTGGCACAGTATTAAATCAAGCAGATCTGAAAACCAGTGGTCTAGCAGTGTTGTGAGGATGGCAGCCCAAGGCCTGCAGGAAAAATGGCTGCCATGTGGAAGAAATCTGTGTATATCACTTTTATTCCCTTATACTTCAAAACATTTATTTATTTGTTAAGCAAAAAGATCTTGGGGAGGATTTAAATTGATGTTGAACTTTCCCCTTTTTTCCTCCAGTTTTGGCTGCAGAAGGAAGCTGAGTGCTGCAGGAATCTGGGTGGCAACTTTGGACCCCTAAGCTTTATCCAGGGATTTCTCAACATCGCCTGCCCAGTTTACTAAGGTGAGGACAGATCTCTCAAACTTCAAGCCAGCATAACCAATGAAGAGCTCATTTGATGTGTTGTGGTGCTGGGTAGGTGTGTCATTAGTGGCTTCAGCAGGCGTGTTTTCCCAAGGGCTGACAGCTTGGAGTCCAGCTCCATTGTATTGCTTTCATCCTGCTTGCTTGCATACAAAAGGTGTCCGTTTCCCCAGGCCCACAGCTGCTCTCCTATTTGATGCTGTCATGTTGTGGTAGAGGGTGGACTTATAAAGCACACCTTAGGGCTGGGGGAGAAGGAGCACAAGGAGATGATTCACAGCTGGTTGTAACGGGGGTGGGTGGGAAAGAAGTGTCAAGCTGCTCAGAATAGATATATGCTATAAAGAGGCCTAGGAAGATAAGAAATGAGAGATTCATATCAGTTTACTTCCCTTGCCCCCCCCCCCCTTTCTTTTTTTTTTATTGTCTTCTCTCTGGGAAATTCTTTCCAGTGCTTCTCAGTAGTAGTGGGAATCAAGGGCAAGAAGAGCAAAAGTGATGGGAGAGAGTTAGCACTTGTAGAGATTCAGACTTGAGCGTGCAGCGTAATGCAGTCTGCTCTCAGACAAGTGAGGGAGGGAGCTCTGGGCTCTTCCCTCACAAAGTTTTCTTCTAACAGTCAAAAATAATAGAAAGTAGACATAGAAGAGATCTGTTAATTGATCTTGTCCACTTCTTGCCCAATGCGGGGTTATTCCCTGCAGCACATTTACTAGTGCTGAGTTCAGCTTTGTTTTTAAAACCTCCACAGTGACAATCTCCCGAGGGGAGCAGTGAAAGCCTGACTCCACAGCCTCTCCTTGTCGATCTGCTTTGCAGGGGGAAATGCTCACAACCAGGAAATGCTTTCTGACGTTCAGCCTACTTCCCCCCCCCGCCATCACTTCTTTTCTTTTTTTAAATTCTGTCTTATTGATTCTATTGCTATTTTATTGTATCATCTGAAATGATGTCCTTCCAGGAGCACCACGAGTTAGCTTGAAGCATCAAAAGCTGCATTCTCAGGAATGTAAATGCATAGTTTTACGTACCTGACCTGCTGGCACGGGAATGGTTGTTGAATAACCACCTTAACTGCAGGTAGAAGTTTAGAGCTGACCATGCACATTTTTTCTTTGCCACTAAAACTGAGACCTACTGCATGAAACAGATCCAAGAAATCAGTATCTTGAATCCTTAGCTTCTTAAGTTATTTTAATTGCATCTTGTTTTTTTTTTTGTTTGTTTGTTTGTTTTTTGTCTTCCATCAAAGCATCTGTCTGTTCAGTTTGGCCTTTTTTCATTGCCCTTTTCCTCCTCTTAATCCCAGCGCTAGATTGTGAATTTGGTCCGGGTCCTATTTAAATAGTTTTGGGGTTGCCAACATGGTGTGCTCTGATATTCAGATCTCATAATCCAATTTTGAAATTAAAGAGCTTGAGGCAAAAACACTCTCACAACTGAATTGCTTGTTTTTGAGCACCGAGCCAGTGTTTTCCTAATAAAAATACACCAAATCTCTTCCTTTTCCCAATTAATAACAACAAATGTCACAATAAAAAATCCCATGCACAAAATCTTCCTTTTAAATTTATGCCCTGTGTGAGCAGGATGGGCAATGGGAAATTTTAAGCTGGATGATGATTTCAGGCCAGGTATCTGAATTCCAGCTGAATACGGAAGACATGCAGAATAGCAACTAATGTGCAGTGCCTCATTTTCTGTCTTGACAGAAGGATGTTCTGCATGTGCCCAACAATAAAAGTAACAGTGAGGAAAAAATAAGTCCTGTTTATTATTTTTTTAGTTGTTTTTTCCCTCCCCTCTCCCCAAGTCATTATTTTGAGTTTCTCAGTATTAAATCTAAAGGTTCATCAACTCACATCTTTACAGCTCTGTCTTTCTGTATACAGGACCCTGTCTGCCTGTTTCCTCTATTGCACTATTTTGTTTGTACTACTGTAATCATTTTGCTGGCCCAGATCTGTGTGGGTGTGCTGGCAGCTTTACAACAAAGTTACATGGGAACTGAGTTAAGGTTGAATATTTATTAGAAGAAGCCATCTGGCGTCAGGCTGTCTGTACAGGGGGGCTTATTTCTTTAGTAGTCTCTCCTTTTTCTTTCTAGCTCTTCCTCCCTCTCTCTCCGTTTCTCATTTACACGCCGCATACATGCAAAAAGTGGAACACACATCTTGACATATTGATTTGATTCTTGATATTTATAGCAATTAACCCCTCTCGTGTGATTATTCCCTGTCCCACTGCCCCACAGCGGAGGCTGCTCGGGTCTGATCCCCGGGTGGCAGTGGCTGCCCCACGGATGCTGTGGGCTCTCACAGTGGATCCTTCCCATTGGCTCTGGGAAGCTGTAGGTTTCTCCAAAATCCCTCTCCTTTTCCTTCTACACCTTCCCTCCTCCAGCTCTTGAGCTCATAAAAGAGCACTGCGCTCCCCAAGCTCCCAACTCACCATATTAAACAAACTAGCCAGCAGAAGGGTGTCCGTGCTATTTCACCATTTGTATGACATAGCCACGCTTCAAAGTGCAGCACTAAATTGCCAAAAGATGTTTACTTTACTTGCTTAAGAGCTCCTCGTAATTCAATTGTTCTCTCTCCCGCAGTAGAAACACACATGCATCCTGAGAGCCGTGCTCTTGTGCGCGCCGGATAGTTATTTACCCATGAGGTTTCCTCCATTGGTTTTTGCACAGCATGCTTGGGATTTTTTTTTTTCAGAGATTTCAGATAATTTTTTTTTTCTGAGGTGATTGACTGCGAGCACCTTGAAAGTCACAGCTGTCTGCTTTCATTTTCTTTTTATTCCTTGCAACCAGATAATTGGTGATTTTATTTTTTCCAAAACCATCCTTCTAGGGTTTTTGAGCTCACATTAATTTAGCCATCGAAAGTTGAGGGTCACCTTGGAAAACCTTGACCCATTTTTTCCTAGCAGTCCAGCTAGGAATGATGAAGAGTAGCTGGTAGTCTTTCCCACTGTTCCTTAAGGTCATAAGCTGTATCCTCACCTCACAGCCTTACGTAACATCCCTATGCTTTGGAGTGATGGTTTTGGATGGCAATGCCAGGTGGGAGAAAGGGAGCACTGAGCAGCAGAGATTCTTTCTGCTGATAGTAACGGTGCAGTCCTGTGATGTTTCCCTGGCCTCTCCACAAAAGACTGCCTGCAGGGATGAAAGGAAAGTCCTTTCTTCATGACTGACACGGAGGTTTAGCAGCCTACCGTGCTCTAGCAATGCAGAACATGTGGGATGTTCAGAGTGACTTAAAGAGGGGATGGAGGCATGGTGCCTCAAAGGATACAAGTGGAAGGAGGTGGTTGTCACCATCCTCAGTCTTTCCCTTCTTTTCTGGCAACTGATGGCCCAAAATACCACTTCTTGTCTGACTGGGGACATATGTCATCCTCAGGTAGCATCTTGTGGGTCATAGCAAATGTTTATGTTGGGGAAGAAAAATATGAATTTTTCCATGCACTGCTAGGATAGCTGAATAACTGTGCAGCTTTTGGGGAAAAAGAGGGGGAATGGATCAAAAAAGTGGTCCAATGTAGGATCAGTGCAAGAATGAGAAAGTTGCAGTGTGGAGCTGTTTGATAAAGAAGGCCTTCCCTTGGAGTTCACTAGCCCATACTTATTCTTCCATCCTCAGTATGGGGAGGGAAAAGACAAGGCTGTCTGGTGAAATGAAGGAGGTGGATAGTAAATCCCATAGGTTCTTTTACATGCTTTGTGCACTTTGAGGTGAGCCTACTCTAGATCTGAAGGCTTTGATATACCTTTGTTGCTTGGTGGGTTGGAAGAGTTGTGTTTAAGTTGCTAGGCAAGAGGTTGACCTTATTACTAACTTATTTTCTTTGCCAAGCACATAAGTCTGCTTGCCTCGCTTATAAAAACACAGAAACTGCTTTCTTCTGAATGTATTGCACGTTAAGTATCATTATTGGTAGTAAAATTTCTCTGGAATACTTGCAAGAAATGTTGTGCAAAGGTGTGTAACTTGGTCTGCTTTGTTACAGCCTGCTGTCCTGTATGTACACACTGTCAGAAACAAAATCTTTTGTGTGTGAAAGAACAGACTGAACTGTTTGTTACTGGTTCGAATGAAAAAATAAAAAGTTTGGAATTCAGTTTTGCTTTAAAGATTTTCTCACTTCTCAACTTCTTTCAACTCTCTGGACAGGGAGAGGGTGGTGACGAGGCAGTAGCTGTGAGGCAAGACGAGCATTGGGGATGTTGTGAGCTGGACATGGGAGAGCAGTGATGCCAGACTGAGCACACTAAGCAGTGAGTACTGTCACCAATTAAAACAACCATAAAAAGCCAGACATTCCTCGCCGAAATAACTCAGAACAGATCTGAGCTCTGCGTTACCTTTCAGCACAGGCAATGTGCAGATGGGATCTGGAAATAGGACAGAGGAAAGCTTGTTCCCATCTCCTGTCAGACATCTCCATCTCACTGTTGCGTGCTTTTCCCACAGTGACGATAGCTGCTCCTTGCAGTGGTCCTGAGGCTTTCCCCACCTCTCACCTCAGCAGCCCTTTTTTTGGTGTCTTCTCCTTCTCCATTAGCACGAATGGCCCTGGAGTGTAACCCAGTCAAGTTATTAAGCTGCCTTGCAGCTCCCCTGTCCTGTTAAATACCAAACTTGGCCAGCTGTCCTCCAGACGTAGGCTGGGAACTCCTCCAGAGGAGAGGTATGGAGAGCAAGAAACAAATGGAGAGAGCTGAGGTCCTTTGCTTGGCTCTCTGGGGAAAGTCCTTCCCCAGAGCATCTTACCTCACGTGAAAGAACAAGGTGTAAGGGAAGGTATTTTTAAAAGCTTTGCACTTAAGCTTACAAATAACTTGTTTTCCAATACCAGGACTATGTAGATACTGAAGACATGTCCGCTCCTATCTCTTCAAGTAGTTCTTAAACAGTTTGCAGTGAACTTTGCCAGTAGCCAAAGTCAATACACTGAGTTTTTAAACATGCATTTGTAAAAACGTTGGTTTGTATTCGAATGAAAAATGGAAGTTGAGAGTAAGAATAACAAAGTGAAATATATGCTTCAGAATATGAATTCAAGCAACTGTGATTTATCTTGGAAAAGAAGCGGTGTGTGTGAGCTGTAGTGAGAACATGTGAGTGCTACGGTGGGGAAAGCTTGTCCTCCCTGCAACAAACAGCCAGGTGACACGTTTTAAAAGCCAACTGTGCTAAAATCCTCATTGGTTTGTCATCCTGCAATAGGAGGAGAAAGAGGAAATGACAAAAACTCCACACCGTTTGCATTTGCAAGTATGAAATACATTAATAGGAAGTCAGTATCTAGTACTCATGCTGTGCACCAGTGTATATTTTAGGGAGCAATTAAGCATCCTTTCTCTCTCCCCCCCCCACTTCCAAATTAAAGATTCTGGCAATCAGTGAGGGCACTGCTGTTCACTACTGTTCACTCAAAGACTTTTCTCCTTGACCACAAAACTTCTTATTGTTAAGTTTTTCAGTCGTCTTTATTTTTTTAGGATCTGTATTATTTCCTTTAAAATTCCATCGCTGACTATAAAAGCTGCCCTACCTCCTGTATGTCCTCTGCAGCTTTGAGCATGGGATGCTCGTTTTTGGGACAGAGGGGGTTTTTAGACATTGTCCAGTATTGCCAGCACAGGCATGCTACAGATAAGATACTTGCATTAGGAGGGATTTATGCTGCTGCTTGGAGAAACCCAGCCTCTTGCAATGGTCTGCATCAGACCCAGAGGCTCTGTTTATGAAACAGAAAATGGTTTCAACCCCAAATCTTCCCCCTTGTTGTCATTTAGTCCAACAAAATATTGTCTCTTGTTGTTTCTTGACTCTCTTTTTAGACCCAGCTCCTTCAGGCTACTGTCATTCCAACAAAAAGAGGGGAGGATGGGCTCCGCTTGTTACTCTGTGGCTTTCTGGGGAGGAATTGAGAAATACTCTAACACTTTAATAATGATAATCTCCAAATAGTTCGTAACGGCATTAAGAGTAATTAATGACATTTGAACAGCAAGAGCACTTAATCCCTGGGGAAACGTGATAGCCACTATTTTGTTTACATCTAAAGTTGTTTCAAATGCAAAGAGGAAAAAAAATATATCTGTTTTTAACATCTTTTCATATTTGCACTGCTTCAGATTTTATTTTAACTTATTAAGAGCAAATAAAAATACAAGGTTTTTTTTGCTAATAATAAAAACTGCATTCCATATCAGATCCAGCATTAGGTTAAAAATAAAGGGGAACTCTTCTGTATTTCCCAGGGGATTAAGATTTTCTGAAAACTATAAATCACCAGTGATACTGTGGTTTACAAAGAAGGATAACTTCTTCAGAAAGACCCACATATTTACATTTTAAAAATATTTTTCATAGCCTTCAGAGCCATTAAAAGAACTTAAATAATTTTGATGATAAATGCTCCTGAGTGGAGCTTTTATGTTTTGGTAGCGCTTTTTATTTTTCCTTCACATAGCTGACCTTGCTAAACCTTTGAAAAATGCTGTTACATCCTTTCACGTTTTAACAATTTTACAATGAGGGGAAAAAGAACTCCTGTGATAGTTTTCGAGATAATACCGAACGGGTCTAATTCAGATGTTTAGGTTTGGAAAAATCAACAGAAGGAAAAGGGTTTTGTTGACCTTGGGTTTTGAGAATAAATAGGATAACACCTGATTCAAGACAGGAAGCTTTCCTTGCGGTAAATACACAGAGCAAAGCAGAGTGTGTCAATCCTGTTTAGCATTTGAATGCAGCATGTGCTCTTTTGGTTATGCTCTTGAGCCTGTTTCTACTTTTGGCTTTTACATTCCACAGAACTTCTGTAAAATCAGCAGGGACAGTGCTAATAAATTTATAATGTTGTTTTGTATTTCTGAACATAGTACCTCAGTAATTAAGTGAAATATTTATGATGAATATAAAACAATGCAAATTCATTTGTTTGCCTGAAAGCCAGCTTGTTATTTATTTAGATTTATCTTTGAATGATTCTTTAAATTGAATCTCAGTATGAATGGGAGTGATATTTAAAACAGAGAAAATTTGTTATAGTGTATTGATGCATTACACTATATTATCAAGTGTCAATGCTATGCAGAGGACAGTTTAAAGAAATAAGCAAATAACAAACAGGAAACAAACAAAAAAGACTGACCCAAAAGAAAAAAAAAAATCCCTATTTTTTTTATGCTTTGTAGAAGTTTGTAAAGGTGAAATCACTTCCCATTAGCTGAAATATTTAATAAATCTTATACTATCACTAGCTGTAGATATGCAAACTGGATCTTCAATTATAGAATAGGTAGAAGGAGGCTCAGTAGAACCATGTCTCAATTTTTTCTTCAGCTGACTGCATTTTTCTTTATAAGCTGTTCCAGTAATTTCTGTCATTTACTGTTTTCATTGGGGAAATTCAATCTGAAACTCTCTAACCAATTCAAATCCAACAAATGTAGTGACCTATGAAAGAAAATGTCTATGAAAAGTGTCCCTATGAAAAGCGTTGACGATTAAAACCTAAATTGTTTACTTCAGTTGGACTTCTTTCTTTTCTAAGTAAAAATAATTTTCCAAAAATAACTTCCTTTCCAAATGTATTACTGGGGATCTCTTCATCTTTTTCTTTTTCTTTTTTTTTTTTTTTTTTTTTTTTTTTTGCAATAATCAAGCTTATGCAATGAGTATTTATTTATTTTAAAAATTGTATTCTATTTTCAAGCTCTTACATGTGACAGCATTTTACATCCAGCAGTTTAAGTAGCTATATGTAGTATTTTATCCAAATCTAGGTGGGCTGCTAATGTGCTGAAAAGCTCTTGAGGCTCAGTGGTGTGAGGACTCCCTTAAAATTTTGAAAACTATCATAGAGTTTGTGTTGAAAGGGACTTGTAAGACCATCTATTTCCAATCCCCTGATATAGGCAGGGACACCTTCTAGATCAGGTTGCTCTCAGCCCCATCCAGCCTTGAATGCTTCCAGGGAGGGGGCATCCACAACCTCACTGGGCAACCTGAATCTCCCCTCTTCCAGTTTAAAGCCATTTCCCTGTATCAAAATAGAGCTTGAAATTTAGCTGTGTACGTATGAACAAATCTTCTGCTTCTTGTTAGATCCTGGTTGCGAAAACACAATCCTGAATAACTGTGATCAAGTCTCGAATGAATTTCCAAGGCATGGTTTCCACGAGGTGCAACCTTTAGTGCTCAGTCTACAACCAGTAGATATTTGGTGAAAAGGTGGATAATGGGTGTAGGAGTGGCCGTTGCTTGGAAGCATCCTCCACTGAAACACGTTCTTCCTCAGCCTTGTCATTGTTTATATTTATTTTTGTAAGCATACAAGAAGATGTTAAAATAGCTTTCCTTCATTATTTTACGCAGCTAGGAGCTGTGCTTAGACCAGAAGCAGGGACCCACCCTGGACCTAGCAACATCAAATGGAGTTACTGCCCTTTGCTGTCACCTGTGCTTGCCACCAGATGTGATGCAAGAGGAGCCACAAATGACTTCTGTGATGCTTTCAGGCCAAAGAGAAGGTAGGCTTCTGCATGGATTTGTAGGCCAGCCTTTATCTTTGCCTTTGTTTTTCAGTAGGTTTTCAATTGACACTAGCACTCAGCCTCCTTTCATATGTCAGGAGGGAGACCATAGCAAGGTGTTATGACATGCCAGGGCAAAAACATGCTGCGTTCAGTGTTCACAATTTTAAGTAAGTTTTGGGAATTTTTTTGTTGTCTTTTAGACAAAAGAAGCAGCTAAGAATTAGCAGGAAGACACCAAATACCTTGCACGTTTGCTTTTGCTTTGTTGATAAATGCATTTTATTTTTATACCTCCTATTTTATTTATACACCTCCTTAATATTGCTAATTTTCATACAGTGACGTAGACCATCAATAACATCAAGTATATCCATTAACTCTAAGAAGAGTAATTTTCCAATAAATAAACCGTGCTTGCTGATTACCTTCTGAGCTCTTAGAAAACTATTTGAGACATGCAATAAAACAAGAGGAGAGTTCAGTAAGTTTAGCTGGCCAGAATACGCTACTGTGTGTGACTGTCAGAATGCTGGTTGGGGTCTCTTGCTGCTGCCTAAGGTTTTTTGAAGATATTTCTTTGTGGAGGGTCCAATCAGTCTCTGTAGTTTGATGCTACAGTAGCCCTCCAGTGTTACTGAAATATTTAGTACAGAGAAAAGGAAATGGGTGCTGTGACATTTATTATTGCAGAAGTTTAGCTTGTAAATATGCCTTAAAAAGTTATAACCCAGGCACAGTGAGCAGACCCTGTCCCGTACCCTTCCCTAGACCAAAAGGTCCCCGCTGGACTTCCTTTCAGGCATTCCTGGGATGAAGTTATCACCTTAAAGACCAATGCTTTTCCCTCAGGCCTCAGTGGTGTGAAATTTTCAACTCCCCTCATTTTTAAATTATAAAAATTTGGGGATTGTTCCAAGGCTCCAGAGCCCAGAACTCTTAGCAGTGTGGGGGATGACAGGGATCTCACGAGATCATCTCAGTCCAGATTCAGAAAGGACACTAAAAGGCTATTTTTGAAGGGATATGTTGTTTAACGTCGTATTTCCTGATATTCCCAAATTATGCGTAGATCAGAGCAAACACAGCATTCAAAAACCTCAAAATAGACCTCAAAATACCCAAAATAGGTTTCAGTGGTAAAAATAGCATTGAGATCAGGGTGCAGAGTGGCCCTTGTTCTGCCCCTTGCTGATTGCCAGGGCCTGGCTGCTTCTTGGACTCCCTGGCCCCAGGGTGAGCTTTCCTAGCTGTCTTGTCAATGGAAATAGTAAGATTTTTATTGTTGGTTGAAGCAGACATATTAAGGTTTTGGCCTTGGCTTGCTGTCATCATTCTAGAAAAGTCCTTGGAATAGCCCATCAGAAGTTTGAAGTGCATGTATTTCGAGATTAAGAAAAAAAGATATTAAGGTTGTTTCCACTCAAAATCTGAAACGTTATAATCTCGTAAGTGCTTTATTTACTTCTGGTGAGCCATGCAGTAAGCTTTTAGTGTGGGGGGTCAATATTTCCTCCTCCTCTGATTCACCACAATTTTCGCCCCTCCGAAAAAGAAAAAATGAATACCAAACCACATTAGCACTGTTAGTGGTACAATTGTCTCAGTCCTAAACTGTGTTTCTCTGCTGTGGTTAACAGTGCTGGGGAAATAGCTGGCTAAGTGATTCTTGGATTTTAAACCACAAGAGACTGATCATGAGTCCAATATTCACTTTTCAAACTTGAGAGGAACAAGATTTTGACCTCAAAAAATGTGCACTGCCTGTGCTCAGTAACATCCTTGTATAGAATTCTTTTCTTTAAGGGAGGCTCCATGGGAGTACCATAATGTGACAGTAATACTGACTCCTTTTATCTCCATATTTTCCTCCTTTTTTTAATTTTCCCCTTGACTCTCCAACATATATAGGTCATGGCCTAAAAGTGGTAACCTTCCAGAAGAGACTCTGGGTTTGCCTGTGGTAAAATGCAATGTAAGTGATGGAAAACAAACCACAACATTGTTCACCTAAATAATAGCGTTGCCTGAATTGATCAAACTACTCACTATTAGGAGCTTGTATCATGCAAGGTAACTTCAGGTTAGGAAAAGACCACTCACACTGTCTGTAAAGCTTTTATGTGGTTGGTGGATTCTAGTGGGATGCTATGAAGCTTGGGACAGTAGTCCTGAGCTGTTTGCATGAGTTATAAAATGCAGAGCATTCTGTCTGTTATAATTTTGTAAGGATTGCTAGAATATAAGACCCAAACCCGAGACCAATGGTAGTTACACTGCAGATAGGGCTAGTGGTGGAGCACTAGCAATAACGACGAGTGGTGAAGAACTTGTGTAATATGAGATTAACTTGAAAACCAAATTTTGGCTAGAAGTACAAGTATAGATATGTTCATTTTATTGGCTTTTTGAAAGTGTTTGCACTAACAGCATTATCTCTGTACATTTAAGTGGAGATCAGATACAAAGCCAGTAGGAAAAATTTGTCTTAATTGTGAGATGAAAATAATTTTTAGTGGAAATTGAAGTTGTTTAGATGTTAATCCTGAGAAGAGTTTTGTGATTAATTGCTGTTAATGTCTCTAAGTAGCCCCATGATGATGATTCTCATTGATGAAAATGTTGCTGTTTAGCTAGGGCAAAGCTAAACATACAAATGTGTCTTTATGCAATTAAGGCTTGGTTTACAGGTGCACAGTTTCATTTTCAATAGAGATCTCAAAAAGAGAAGCTTGAAATCAAAGCTAAAAATATATTTTACTTTCACTGCTCTGTTGCCTTACTTATTAAGAAAAAGGCTGGACATCAACCTGTTGCTCCACGTGCTAAGACACATACTCTGCTTGCTTGTGAGCGCAAGTAAGATTTAAATTCTTTATCATTCTTTGGCGTTGACTTCCACCCTCTGTCAGCCCATCATTTGTACCAGCGAATGTATTTCCATTATCCCTTAGAGGAAAGCAAAGCCAAAGCCAATTTAAGAGTAGCCACCTGTTTTTGAAGCTTAGATCATCCATTGAAAGAACAAGAGCCACAGTGATGGGACTCTCAGTTCAAATAGCAAATAATACATATCAGACACTGAGAGAGACAGTGTCTCAGTGTTTTGAAAGAGAGTAATCCCTGCTTATCAGCTGGCTACCATGATGAAGCAGTCAAATATTCTGAATTTTAGGTCATGCTGTTTTTTTTTTTTTTCTTTTGTAACTGAATGCTTTCTCAAATAAAAATGAATGAGGCAATAAGATGTTTGTCCCATTAGCAATGTGTAAGTGAAGGTCTGCAGACAATTAGATATCTAAGATGCATTAAACTGATAAACATTTTTAATTATTAAAAATACAAATCAGCAGCACTAAAGAGGTTTTTTCAACTAAGGAGTGATTTTCTGATGAAGGTGAGAAATTATTCTGTATCAGTGTTGATGCTGAAAAGTGCATGAAAGTAAGTAGATTTCCAGTTTATAAACATAAGATTGATCTACCTCGAAGAGTATCTGTACTTGATGGACACGTACACCAGTTCTTGTTGTCATTCTTCCAAATTTTGAATTTGTGTTGTAAATGTTCTTAAAATTAATACCAAGAAAAGGCACTAGCAGAACGTAGGAGCACTGGGATCAGAAACACAGGACTGAGCAGCGTTGAGGGGTGTGTGCATGCGTGCAATATGCCAGGTTCTGTGTCTGCTTTTGCTCAATTCTGAACCAGGAGGAGCAATACTAACTAGCTCACAATGTAAAAATGTATTTCATTACTGTCTTCATACACGGTTAAGAGAAAGTGAGAAATCATCCTTGCCTTCCTTTCTTATCAGCATCTTCCCGTAGCATCGTACTAACCACTAGCACTGACTATTTTTAAGTACTTGCTTCTTTCTCCTTTCACCCCCCCAGCAGTATGTCACCCAAATCCACTGGAGTTATTCAAAATGCATGTTTTCAAATATTAACATACATTCAGAATGAAAGAAAAATCTTCCTTAGAGTCTGGCCTACTTATACGTGGCTGATGAAAGCTTTTGCCACCAAAGGTCAACATCTTCTAGCAATCTTCCTTTGCAGAGTAGTGTTCTGCTGTTGTTCTCCCAGTGGACAGAGATCTTAGTACTTTATGGGCAAGAAAACTGTCTTCCTTGCAAACCTTTAGCTGTGCCAGTGGGCTTGCTGCCAAAATCTGAAGGCTTCCCTCAGCTTCCATGGGATGCTATGCTATGAGGTAGTACTAGATGGTATGGAAAATGTGTGTATGTTTGTGTGCTGCAGTGAAAGGAGCAGAAAAGAGGAGTAATTTCAGCCTCTTCCTCTTATGTTTGCTTTTTTAAATTATTCTTTATTATTACTATTATTATTATTATTATTATTATGCAGGAGCTTCCCTATCTAGATAAAGACCTAACTGGCATCTTCCTTAATTGAAAGCAAGATGTTAGTGAAATGAAATGTTCTTGTGCCATCAATGCTTAAGGCAAGAGAAAATTGCAAACGTTGGAGAGAGTTGCGTCCTGTACTGATGGTCAGGTGAAGTCACGGAGGCAAAAGTTACAATCTCATTTTTGGCTTAGGTATTTGGATGGACCTGACTGAACAGAAGAGATTATACTACAGTGAAGAATAACAGCTTCTCCTGCCATCTCTAGTTGATCACCAAGTTTTCTTACGTAGAGAGATGACTTCATTTGAAGTGTGACTTCATCTGTTATGCTTGCTTTGTTTTTCTATGTAGTTCTTGCAGCGAGAGTGATGTGATACACTGAAGGCATGTTTGATTTGACTTCGCTCTTTCTCGGCTTACCTTTAAATATTCAGTCTGGTTTAGGAGCTCTGTGGTTTTCTTTCAAGCCCCAAATTCAGGGTGAATGTCTCAGTTCTTGCATTTCAGGTACTGTAAGATATTCTGTGCTCAAGAACAAAGTTTCCATGTAGCTTTGAAAGATGAAGAGAGATGAGACAAAACAGTCCAAAAGTTCGTCTTGCTCTTCATGACCTACTCTATGGTATAAACAGAGATGGTATAGAAAATGTCACTTAAAAATTATTTGCTATAATTGCCTCTGTTTTCCGTGGTTGTAGGAACTATGGGCAAATCACACAATATGGATGTTTTTCAGTTTTTTATATTCTGAGACTGATAAAAATAGGCTACTTTTTTCAGCTGCTTTAGAGGGGTATTGTAAAGACAAATATCTTCAGCTCTGCCAACAGCTAACCTCCTTCTGTGTGCAAACAGCCACAGTGCAACTTCCCAGCAAATTTCTACAAAGGCCTGAGTCAAAAGGCCTTATCTGAGTGCTTTTCTGCTGTCTTGTTCTACCCATGCTGTTCCGCCTTTGCTGACTTCGAGATACCTTAGTGTTATATTTTATATTGTTTTCAAGTGTGCTTGCTGCTACTTCTGTGATAGAAGTTCCCACTGAGGGATGAGAATAATGCCTCCAAGGGAAGGTGAGGGACTTAAAGACCAGTTCACAGTGAGATGATGTCCTGAGCAGAGTGCTGACCAGGAATACCCTCTGCAGAAATGCTGGGCTGACCTAAGGGTAAACGTTGGGGAGGTGAAGAGCAATTAGGAAGTATTACTTTTCAGAAAGGGTGGTCAGGCACTGGAATGGACTGCCCAGGGAGGTGGTGGAGTCACCAACCCTGGGGGTGTTCAAGGAAAGGCTGGATGTTGTGTTGAGGGACATGGTTTAGTGGGAGCTATTGGTAATATGTGAACGGTTGGACTGGATGATCTTTTAGGTCTTTTCCAACCTTGGTGATTCTATGATTAATTACTACTGGCTACAGAGAAGGAATGTAAAGCATACAAGAAGTACAGAGTGGGAGGCACCGTTGCTGATTCAGGCCCATGGCTGCTGTGCATGTGACAAATGAACAGCAGCTGGAAGGCAGAGGGACCGGGTTTTATCTGGAAAAGGGCTGAGCAGTAAGGAAGAGAAATGGTTGCTGGTGGTTATGAGAGAAAAATGCTTAAAAAAAAAAAAAAAAAAAAAATTCTACAGTTGATTTATATTTCTATTATGGGCTTATCCTGTTAGCTTGTTCTTAGAGAAGAGCTGTTCCCTGAGGTACCATTTATCCATTTTAGAAACTCTCCTCCCCCAAGAAGTTTGCAACAGTGGAAAGAACAAAAGTTGGGGATGTTTGAAGAAGAAATCTGGCAAAAGCAACTGAATGGCTGGATCCAAATGGGAATGCAAAGGCTGGCTCTTTTGGGGTGCTACCACTTAGCACGAATACAGACTTTGCAATGATTTGTAATGGCCAGTTTAGAACATTTTATCTCTAACTTCTGTTAAAGTGATGTTATGAGGCAGAAAAAATAAAAGGGGGGGAGGCAATTCTCTAAAGATGAAATTGTTTGTTTTATTTTAGGATGAGCGTCATGGGGAAAGGTATGTGATGGTGTAATATCTGCCCGTGTAATGGAAGGCTGGATGGGTACAAGCAATGAAATTGGAAATCAATCCCCAATCCTGACGAATCCAGGAGACCTTCACACCCATGAAGGCACTGCTGCTGAGTCGGGCCAATGGCTGTGTGCACACCCAAGAAATACACACGTGCTGATAGAAAACAGATTTAAAAGGTAACTGTGAAATTGCTTTAGAGCTCTGGATGTGTTTAGAAGTTTGTGACTGGTTGTCAGTGATGTCATAACCATATTTATTATACCTCATAAATGGATGGGTCTGACTGTTTTCCTTATTTTAATGTATAAATTGCAGTTTATAATGGCAATAAAACACTCCAGGCTGTGCATTTCAGGGTGATTATTGCATTTCTCAGGTGGTTAAAGTTACTCTAACTGCCTTTCAGCTCAGATTTCAATGGTATTTGCCCAGTGTTCAGACAATTTTACTTGTATTTTTATGTACAAACCTCAAATTAAAGTGTTTTATTGCTTTTTAATTAAAATGTTGAAGTGTAAAGAAGGAATGGTCACAGGCAGGATCGAAAGACATGGTAGTAGGTGTTTTGATATATGAGGGAATGTATGAGAAGGTGGATAGAGAGAGGAGGGGTTGCAGGGCTTGTCACAGGATTGGGGTGTTAGCGGGTTCCAATCAACACATGGCTGGGTAGGTATGTTTGCGACCCTGACACGTTGGTGTATACCTTATAAAATCTACCACAGAAAAATTGCAGACTAAATGGCCACAAACCCATAATTAACTGCTCAGCATGGATGGGCCCTCCTGGTTGAGCCTGAGAATTGCCAATGTTTCCAGCGCAGTAACTTATGCTGCCTCAGCTCACGGTGTTCTAGATTCCTCTTAAAAGCATACATATAAACAAACTGACCAGCTCAACCCACGTGCAGGATGAAATCCTGAAATCGTTTTGGATGATATTGTGTCTAAATACTTTGCTAAAACAAAGCAGCAAAGTCATTTTGCTTGAAGGGATTTGCTCTTGCAACACAAATTCCTGCTGCAGGTGCCCCCACGATCACCAGTCCTCCAAAATGCTGACAAAAAAAGACAAAGTTGATGGGGTTCCCTCTTCTAAGGAAGGTGATAAAATCATCAAAAGTTTTGTCTCCAGTTTGTGGCCATATCTCAATCTGCACAAGCTCTCATGTGTCTAGAGGTCGCTGCAAGTCATTGATGGCTATCTCATTATTCATGGCCATACACCCCATGCCATCACTGGCATGGGGATGAACAGCAGCACAACAAGTCAGGCTTTCTAGCTGGAATTATCTTCTGCAGTACATCTTTACAGGAACTAGTGCTGTAGGCCTCTAGCACTCACCTTTTGGGTACCATTTTAAATAATAAAAAATACACCTATGCTTCCCTATCCTTTAAGGATGCGACTATTGTGTACTTCACTGAGGAAATTTAAAGTATGGATTGAGCCCTTTTAAGTAAGGAAGCAAAGAAGAACTCACTGGTTTGGGTGTCTGATTTTTATACAAGAGCCATACATAAAAATTGATTTCAAAACAATTTTTTCCCCATCTTTATTTCTATTTCTCCTGTGCAAAATATCCCTCTTGCATACCTCCCTTTCCTTCCCATAGAAGAATGGAAGAAATTCTTAATGGGAAGCAAAGCACATTAGGAATATTAAGGAAAAATTACAGTATATATACTATGAAATGAAATGCATCTTTTGTGAATAAATCCCCTCAGAAATCTTATATTTCCAGGCATCCACTCACGTACCTTCATGTAGCAACTTATACATTCGTAAAACATTCATTGAAAGCAGCTCTGCAGTTTTATAGAAAACAACATGCCAGGGATGCAAGAATCTTGCCAGTTCTGTGAAAAATGACACCAATTAAAGCTTAAATTGCTTGTTTTCTCATAAGGTACATATTTTCATAACTTTGAAATCAAATAATTGCTGCTTTTATATTAAATACAATAAAACAAAAAGGATGCTAGTTTAGAGGAACTGCTACAAGCATTTTAATATAATTTTCCCACCATTTAAAGTCACAAAATATGGAAAACAAGTCAAGTATGCAAAGTTCCAAGGAGATAGAGAAACTCCTTCGGATTATTACATCATTTGTCTTTTGTGTCAGGAAATGTGTATGTGATTTCATTGTTTGATTAAATGCCAAAAAAAAAAAAAAAAAAAAGCATATTGCTCTTATCTAACTGATTACAGATTTTATTCATCTGAAAAAGTATTTGTTCATACTTTGACATTAGAAGGCAATATTTTTTTTAATGGTCCAAACAAGTATTTTCAAAAAAATATAATCCTAACTTCCCAGGCTTGCTTTTTATTTTGTATTAACAATGCTCTGTACTAACATTTCCCATACTGGAACACAGTCCCTAGTGGTTTTCAAGCTATAAACTGAGTAAACAGTCCCTTTCTTATTGAGTGTCTGTGTGAATGCATGTTGTTTCTGGAATACATCATATTCATTTGCAGAAACCCTGTGTATGGATCTTCAACACTTGATTTTTTTTGTCTTCTTTTCCGAGGTACCTAAAATAATAGCTTTTTAAGACAGTCTTACGGTCACATAACTTGTTGGGAAAAGCATACCATGGCTCCCAGTCTGAATTAAACATTGTCATTGTGGGTAAGTGTCATTTAAAATACCTATACTGCTAATTATTTGATACGCTAATACTGTGCTGCTGTACTAGCTCTGAATTATTTTAGCATGTTTTTGGCAATGTTGCAGTAAGTAGATTATAAGTAAATCAACTAAAAATATTTCCATATTTAGTTCCCTACTTTTTTGTCTTAAGTGCATATAAAGGTGGCACTTATCAGCGACGTTTTTTGGACTCTCACCATATCAGGGTTGACAAACTTAGCTTTGCATACTAAAGAATCCTTTAAAAAAAAAAAAAAGAAAACATAAATAATCTAAGGACAAATATGAAGCTTCATGTGGAGACTTCAAGGTCAGTTACCATTGGCCTGGCCTCCATTAACCCCCACAGGAAATCTTCAGGATCCTTATTTTATCTTGAGTGGGTGTTCCCAAACTATCAGTCTTTTTTTTTTTTTTTCCACCAAAATAGAGAGACAGTTTCCTTTAAAAGACATGAATTTCATCTGGTAGAACATTCCAAAACAGCTTACAGGTCACGGAGAAATTTGCAAAGAGAATGGTGGTATTTTAAATTGCTCTATTAACAAAACTGCGCTCTGCCTAAATTTGGGAGAAGGAAAAAAAAAAAAGAAGATATGAAAACTTAGTAAGCATTTAATAGTAAGATATTAAAATACAGCTAAGCGTTCTCAGTCACTGGGGAAAATAAGCTAGTATGGTATAATGAGATCCCTGAAGTCTTGTGATCCATCCAAAGTAACAAGAATGTAATACCAATGGGTTAACTAATTATACGTATGTATTTAAAAAGTCTCTCAGTAGTCTGAATCATGTCCAATGTGAAGCCTGAAGAGTACACGATCCATTATTAACCCATTAGTTTTGCACTTTTGGTGTGCTTCAGCAATGAAGAACGCTAACTGCAGTGAACTGAGATCTGTGTCTTTTTAATAAAGTGGGTAATCTTTTTTTTTCTTTTTTTTTTTTTTGCCAGGGGAGGGTGAGAGTATATCTTATTTATGGTGTCATTTTAAACTCAAGTTACAATGCCTTAGATTTAAGAGAGAGGCCAGTAATGCAGGCAAGGGTGTCTCTTGCAAGGAGACAGATTAATGCCATGTGTACTGATGATTCTCCACCACAATTTAGGATTCTGGTGGCGCCATGATGCTCCTGTTTTTTATGGTGGTTTGCCAAGAGAAAATTACTTAAACCAATTGTGAATGCGTTCCTGTTATACTTTTACACAACCACATTTATGTACAGAAATAGCATAATGAGTATTTTTTAAATGATCTCTTATTCCAGATTCACCTACTTTGCATAAAATGTCAAACACAGGAATTAGGGGAGTTGGGGTTTTGTTTGTGCTTTTTTCCTTCTTTTTCTCTTCACCCCCCCCCCCTTTTTTTTTTTTTTTTTTTTATGAGAGATGCTTTCAAATGGGAATATAATTCCCCCCCTCCCCCCTTCTTTCTCCATGACAACTGACCACAATTGGAGTAGATTCTTCTTAACATACTGTAATGTGAGAATTTTCTTCAGCTGGAGGGTGTTTTACTCCCTAAATTGAAAGCTGTTTCACTTTACCATATAAAATGTGAGCTGGAGGATTAGGATGCTGGGTACCTTTGCCAGGTAAAACTGACATGGGGAGATTGAAGGCCCTCAAAGCTGTAATAATATTCAAAGACTTCAGAGGTTAAGAATGGTACGTAGGCTTCAGTGCTCTAAGCTGAACAAATAATGCCTTTATATTGAAGGGAGTTTGTACCAAACAAACAGTATTTGACTGTGTTCTGTATCAGCTGACAACAGTTTTTTTTCTGAGTATTTTTGTATGAGCAGGTATCTGGACAACAGTTTCTGTATTTTGTCTCAAAATTTTTCAGAAGAGGCATCTATTCTTTTGACCACTATTGCTTCCAATACATGAAGAGAAGCTTGTAGATTTGTCTTATAATTTATTTGTAGGAATGATTCCTTTTTTGTTACCTGATACTCTTTATCCATTCCCATGAGTATGTTTGTTGCTGAAGTTCTCAAGTGGGAATGCGTTCATGTTGGTGATGGAGCCCACAGAGCTCCATCAGTCCTTCAGGGGCTTTCCAAAATGACACAAAGTGACTTGCTTTACATTTAAAGGGAGGAGGGCTGTCACTAAGGATGGTGGGCTTAGAGGTCTTGTCTGCTTTTTGTTTGCTGTACTCAAAGAGATCTTTAATTCCTTTATCATTAGGGGTTTCCTACTGTGACTGTGAGAACTGTGGTAATCAAGCCTGAAGTTTTTGAATGACAATGCCATCATGTTTAAATATGAATCTGTCTGGAGTAGATGAAGACATATTTCTATAACTGAAAGAGAATAATGTGCCTACTTACATAAGGTCTTTCTTCAAGGCCAAGAAGAGCATCACTCTTAGTCCCAGGTGTGGATAGGTCTTTGTGGTGTGAAGGGGTCTGGTAAATCATCTCCAGTGAGAGTTAGAGAAGGTAGTAGTTGAGAACTGTGTCAAGGAGTTTACTGAAGAGCTTGCTGGATTCTGTCTTGTTGCCATTGCAACAAACAGTGCTGTTTTTAGGCAGAACACACGGAACTCATACAAAGCAACAGGTTTAAACATATCACTATTTTTATGGTATTCATGATAAGGAGGTGTTTATTAAGCAGGCCTCCACACACAAAAAAGGTGGTGTCCAATATATCTTTACATGTTCTTTAACATAACGTTTTGGTTTGGAAATCAGAGATTGAGTTAAAAAAATGTTACCTATGGCGTCTGAAATGCAATTTCCTCTTGATGTGCATTTAAGGTCAATGTTTACATATAACTTCAATGTCATAATAACGTAGGTTTTTACTACTATGTGTGGTTTCTGCAGTTATCCAGTTGTATCAATAATGGCTCTTACACTGCCACAAATATACAGGGTAATTTTGGCAATATGGGGTTTTTTTGTCTGGAAATTGGAGAAATCTTCTGGCAAAAGTGAGGAAGAAGGACTAGAACGTGAAATAGTTTGGCATACAGGGCAAAAGAAGGAGACTCCTGGCAACTGAGAGAGAATTATTGACACTGAAAATGAAGAGGGCCTTGCAATATGAAGGGAGAAAGAGGACTTAAGAGAAGGAAAGGCCAAGTAAGCAGGACAGAAAGGTTGAGAGGAAGATTGGCAGGAGAGCAAAAGACTTTCTCTCCAGAGAGAAGCAGAAAGGGATGACTTCTTAAAATAGAAAGTCCAAAGAGTATCATCAAAGGATTCAGCTGTGGGAAACCTGTCCAGCTAAAGAGGCAGCAAGCCTGGGATGTTTATTATTTTTAATTTTTTGGAATGCTTCAAGATGTAAACCAGTCAATTCCACAAAAAAAGAAAAAAAGAAAAAAAAAAAAGTTTTGCATCAGTCTAAGAAATTTGCCTTTCACATTTTCCTCTGAGAAGCTGTAATTCGGTTCAAAACCTCCCAAACTAGAACCCTGTTATCTGGGGAGTCTTTCTCTGCTTCATAATACATTTGAAAAATACATGAAGTTGGGCATATTAACTCCTCTGTTATTAATATATGGGGAGTTTGAGCCTTGTAATCTGAGTTATATTTTGAATTATGAAATATTCTATGTATTTTAGTCCAATCTATGTCTTGTCACTGGGTGACATTTCTAGGTTTATTCACTTTGTACTGCTCAAACACCTTTATCATCAGCAATTATATACATGTTAGCTCCCAAAAGTCAGAGGTTGCTGCTAAATTCTTTCACCAAAAAAATAATATCTGTTGCTTCTTACATGTGCATGACCACAGCACAGTTTACATTTGCTGCTGGTGTTGGAGAAGCATTGACTTGTGGCATAATTATGCTTGGTAGCTTGATCAATCGTTGCTTTGTTACCTTTTGCTTTTATAAAATTTATTTCTATCAGCTGTGAAATCTGTTACCTCAAGATCCAAACATGGAAGTTACATGCAAATCAGCTGTACCGAAGTATGCACTTAATGAACACATTTACTCTACTCTTGTGCTTGTCTGAATAATTTATAATACAAATTTCTGAAGTCCAGAATCCCTTTTCCAAAGGAGAGATAGCTTTGATACAATGATTCCTAAGTTAATACATTGCTGCTTCCGCTCCTTATTGTGCGGCCCAATATATGATATGATGTTAAGTGATCAATAACGTCCATGAATATTACAGGAAAAATGAGCTGTACCCTTCAGGTGAATGCTCTCTAGGCTATCATGCTCAAAGAGACTTTCAATTGATGGCTTCCAGTTGTACAGAGAGGACTCTCGCATGACACAGTGAAGGCTGCGTGTTTACAGGACACCATGAAGCATCAAATAGTGATCCCTACCTTGTGTCCTAGCTTGAAAACGGCCAGAATCAAACCCTGAAGCACAAACTGTTTGGCATGTCATTATTGTTGTAGCCCTATTCAAATTCAGTCTGAGAGTTTTGATGTATTTTACATCTGTAACACGCAGCGTGTTATCATCTTAGTAATATCTACCCTGAAATCTTGAGCCCTGTAATGAGAACTGTGCAACTTAAGAAGAAAAAGATGTCTTTGTAAGGAAATGTCTCTTTACTGCTGATTTCCAGCTATCCCAAATGAAGCTGTGTGTATTGGGCTGACTTCTATGCTGTACTTCAGAGGAAGAGAGAGGAAGAATATTTTGATGATTTAAGTGAGTTTAATGGAAATAAATGTTAATACTGGAGGCTATCACGTATCTGAATTTCTAACAGCTGTCTGAGAGTTGTGTTGTAGAGCAATAATCCTACCTAGAGGATTGTTAGCGGGCTCAAAACTTGTGTTTACTTAGTTTTTATTTGGGATATCTGGTTAAGCACGAAGTTGCAGGACATACCCCTCAGGAAGCCAATCAGTTTTGTAGCCACGTGGTCTTTTGTTGGGTAGCTGATTTCATTCGTTTGAGGGTAATTTGCACAAGTGACAAAAGCAAGCATTCATTATGCATCCTGTGAGGAGCAGGGCTTTCAGGGAGGGCTCTGGG